TGTTATTACAACTTAGATGTTTATTGAAATTCATGTTTATGCTAAATAATATAAATTTATGCATTAACGTAAATTGTAAATAGACAAGCCTTTCTAGAAGGCATTCAAGGAAGCCCTTTTTCAGCACTTCTTGGGTGGGCCTCTTAGAATGGCTTTACTTAAGAAGGCCTACCTAAATTATCTTCTGGGTAACGGCAAACTGCAGAGCGGTGTTGGGGAAAACTACGAACAAATTTAACTAGATTCAATCGGCAATACGCTGCATTTGTAATTTGCACATTAACAATCTCTGGTGTAGTGCCAAGTGATTGCAGGTTGCATAAATTAAATACCATTATTGGTTTTGCGGCAGTAGTTGATATACATACATACAATTCACGCCAGTTACAACAAAATTGAATGCCAGTACTGGCGATTTTAAATTTAATTAAACGCAATGATGTCGATTTTAATAAATTTTTTTTACGCAAGTTTTACAAAAATTTAATTAATACAAATGTTCACGAGAATTAAAGATATAATATGTTGTTAATAAATACCTATTTATTTCTATACATTTTTATGGTACTACTAGTAACAAATTACCAAGTTTAATTTTCTTCATCCGAAAAATTATACCAAATTATAAATTAAGAAAGTAAAAGTTCATTGCTGTTTTATCATTTTTCCTAACAAACACATCGTGGTACAAAGCTCAATAACACTACTGAAATAAGTATTATTAATCCGCCATAACAAAATTGACAAAAAAATTTCATTTTATTTACAATCGTTGTAGTCAAGTTCTAAGGTTCTTCAACGTCGGAGTTCGTGTGCCATCGACGTGGACGCCTAATTGCAGCTTAACTACCTTCGCCAGGTAGCGTAGAGGCGCCGTAGATTTCATAGGGAGAGGGTTAGACTCCGTGCAGTGAATAAGCGAGAAAGATCAGTGATATGTCGTTTACATTCGATTACAAGTCATGTTGTTGTTGTAGCAGCATTCAAGTTCCCCAAAGAGTTTTTGCGGAGTGTTGCTGGAGTGACAGTCCTTGGCCAAATATAAATCTAGGTCGTTCTGGTTACGTAGACCCGACTGTCGTGGGAACGATCACAAGTCATCAATTCCATTGCTGGACGCTAATATCGACCAATCGTGAGCATAGGAGGTCGCGAAAATTCCGTTCTATGGATGAGGAAGCTTCGAAATATAGACATTTAACAGTATCGGGGAGAGGACCCCACTATGTGGGACCCCATGTTTAAACCTTGTTGGCTTAGAAGGTTAGATCTCGAAAGATTACCACTCAGGTAATTGCCATCCATTTTAATACCTGTGGGGGAGAGGATACCTCATTGACCACCAGCAGCGTAGGATGGCAGACGGTTTCAAACTCCTTTGCCTGGTCCAGCTCTACCAGCACACCTCTCTCACAGAGGTGGTTATGGTTTAGGCCGCGAGCTATCTTTTTTCTGCACTTAACAGAAGCCATCTTGATGATTCGCAATGGTCAGGTTACATGTATAGTACGGAAGAAGCCAGGGCTCACGTGTCTTCACTACTCTGGAAATGAGAGTTATCGGGCAATCAGACTCCCACTTGGTTTGCTTGTTTCCCCGGCTTTAGTAGTGGGAGCACCCCCATAATTTTCACAAATCTGAGATTATCAGAGGCCATCGATCCAAATTTTTTTTCAGAACCAGCATGCATATTCCCCCGAGAAAATGTCTTGGAGGCGTTTGCCTTTCTGATGGGCATTTGGAATTCGCCGCTGGTAGAAGTAAGATGCGCACTGTCTTTTGGCAGTTTGTGCAGCCTTCCGGTCACTCGACTCTTGGCATTATCCACCGAAGGATGCAGTGTATCTTGTGGCTCAAATAATTCGCGCATAGCTTCGGGTCCGACGATCTCCGACTTAATCTTGGAATGAAATTTTCACTCTGTCATCACTGCTCGACGGGTCTACATTGGTCCAGTTATGCTTGTCGCTGTGTATGTTGCTGCCTGGTTCTGATTGGATGCGTCAGAACTCGGAAGCAGGGCGCGAAGGAATCACTTTTTCGCTCACTTGGTGGTACGCAGACCAAAACATAGTCGGAAGAGACATCACCCAAGGCAAGAATTGCACTTGACTGATTCCACGTTCCGATATATTCTGTTATGACACACGGAACAGATGATGAGTGGAGCCAAGAGCAGCTGGTTAGCCCTCATACGGGATTTGGGCGGGAGAAAGGGAGAGTAACGGGGAAGTCAGTTTGTTACCCAGGAGAGCTCCCTTGAATTCTGGGCCTCCTTGAGTGCTTGTTTGCATCACGAGTTTCGTGAGCTATCCAAGACCAAATACATAGAAGTAATTATAACCGAAATCAAAAGCCGGCGGCAAAGAGCTGGTAGGAGGCATGAAACAGCTTTTAAGCAGAATTTGGTATGTTGAATGCACGCCCGATGATTGGAATTCCAGTGTACTTTGCCCAATCCAGAAGAAAGGATATCCCGCTGTATGCACCAATTATCGTGGAATATTTTTTTAGCGTTGCTTATAAGATCTTATTGACGATATTCTGTGTAATACTGAAGCCCTTCACGAACCAATCAATTGCACCTTATCAGTGTGGCGTCAGACCTGGTAAGTTCATTCTTGGCCAAATTTTGACAGCACGCCAAATCCTGGAGAAGAAAGTAGATATGCAATTCGACACATACAATCCTTATTCGATTTTAAAGCAGATCGCAAAACTTAAACGCGGCTCTACACGCCGTTTATATGTCTTGAGTATGCGGCCGAAAACACATCGCTTATTCAGGCACGCAAAAATTTTGTAGAAGAACTTTGTTTAATACAGTGGTCAGCTCTATTTTCTATGTAGTAAAGAAATCTGCGGAAACGATGGGACGTGTCAGTCAGCCGAAGACGTATCCAAAAGCTTATTCAGAACTCAACTCAAACTAAAGCCTTAGATTCCATGCTACAGTTTCTACCTGATCTCTTACACCGACTCAGCAGCCATCTACAGTGTTGGCTCCAAGTTGGATCTGAAGGTAGGAAGTGGAGCATACTCGCAAGAACTCTCACTTAGCCTCAGTTTTCGTCTGCCAGATCTTTGAGGCGTTTTTCAAGCTGAATTTACAGCAATCAACGAAGCTGCAAGATGGGTGATCGGTTCTTCTATTAATTCGCATACAGTAACCATCTTTTCTGATAGCCAGACAGCTATCAAAGCATTTAATTGTAACAAAACGTCATCGAGGATTTTCATGGAATGTAGACGTACTCGAAATTAGCTGGAAATGAGATACCATAGACCATAGACAGACCATAGAGATGTATCGGGCAACTGTGTTGCAGATGAACTGGTAAGGAAAGGCGCCTTACTGCCAGCAATCAGTACTTCTCGAGATGCGGGCATTCATTCCGCTATTTTCCTGCAAACTCCGGCTAGAGAATACTTTTGTGGAACGGGAAATTACAAGATGATCTGTGGAACCCACGTGCAGGGCACTAAGGCATGTTTGTCCTAGGTTGGATACGCGCAGATACAGCACTCTTCGGCATGTAATTGGAGTTCTCACCGGGCATTGCCTGATGGGAAGACACACTAGTAGGATGGGTATGCAGACAAACGACAAATGTTATAGCTGCCGTTATGAGGAGGAACACGAAAGCGTAGAGTATTACCTGTGTCACTGTTCCGCATTGGCGAGGGCTCTTCGACGCTATTTTTTTGAATGTTTGGCTGAAGTGGATTCATCTTCAGTAGGGCTACAAATTGGTTTTACTTCTAAGGTATGAGAATGGGGGTAAGGGGTCTCTGTTATGGCTTAACAATGCGTCCACAGTGGCCTCATTGTGCCCTCCTGTGCTGAATGGGGGCATCCAATATAACCTAACCTAAGTTATTCAGAACTTAAGTAAAAAAAATGTCTGAGAAGCGGTCAAGGGTATCCTAATTTTGTTGATTTCGAAGTATGTAATATCACTGCCAAGTAGCGGTTCCATAAGTTGCTAACCCCTTAGGACAATAGTTTGACTTTGAGTTCATTAAAATACATATAGTCGCTTTAAAGTTTCATACATCACTGAGTAGAGTGTCAATTTCTAAACATTTAGATAAGCTAAGTACGCAGCGCATTAGCGAAAGCTATGACCGGAAAATTTGTCAAAAAAAAAACACCAAATAACAAA